ATGTGGAGAGTGGTCTTTAGCATGGCTGTGGCTGGGTCCCCGAGGTCTTCAGCTGCCGGGGCATACGTACATACATATATATAAACATAAGTAAATTTGATATGTATAAGTAATTTATATAATATTATGCATAACACAAATACTCTGTGTGTGTGTGAGTGTGTGTGTGTGTGTGTCCCAGCCAAGGCCATGCTGGGACCACTCTCCACACACTTGGATGAGCCTCACGCATAAAAGAACTGGCAGAGGAACCCAGGTGTGTGGGACCTGGGGCTGAGATCTCCAAGTCTGCACAGTTTGGGACTGGACCTGCCAGTAGCTAGACAGTTACACCCACCGACTGCCGTGTAACCCCAACAATGGCCAGGATCCAGAGATTATCACACTCAGCTCCCGGGAGAGAACAAGGCAGAGTCTCCTACCCTGTGCCTGACTGTCTGCACCAGGGCCCAACAGCTGAAGACCTCCGGGCCCCAGCCAAGGCCATGCTGGGACCACTCTCCACACACTTGGATGAGCCTCACACATAAAAGAACTGGCAGAGGAACCCAGGTGTGTGGTGCCCGGGGCTGAGATCTCCAAGTCTGCACGGTTTGGGACTGGACCTGCCAGTAGCTTGACAGTTACACCCACCAACTGCCGTGTAACCCCAACAATGGCCAGGATCCAGAGATTATCACACTCAGCTCCCGGAAGCGCGCGGCCACATTCGTGGCTGCGCGACATCTTATCATCTCATTCCTACTTTGGACAAACTGGCAGGCTACCAAATGTAACATGCCCACACGGCAGAGTCTGGCAAACTCCCCGTGGTATACCCAATATGCCAAATACCAGTAACAATGATGGGTCTCATTCTCCTAACCCTGAAAGATCCTTGAATATGGAACTTTAAAAAAAAATCTCAGGGCTAGGACGAAGGAGACGTTACTGGGGCCTGCTCGAGGCAACCGACGAACAACAGGATGGTCGTGATATATATATATATGGGCTGGAGAGAGGGCATGATATATATATATATATATATATATATATATATATAGAGAGAGAGAGAGAGAGAGAGAGAGAGAGAGAGGCTGGAGAGAGAGCACTGCAGTAGGGCATTTGCCTTGTGAGCAGCCAGCCTGGCCGAGCCGTGTTCGATTTCTCCACCCCTCTCAGAGAGCCCGGCAAGCTACTGAGAGTAACTTGCCTGAACAGCAAAGCCTGGCAAGCTACCTGTGACGTATTCAATATGCCAAACACGGTAACAACAAGTCTCAAAAAAATAGAGACATTACTGGGCCCGCTCAGCAAATCGATGAACAACGGGAGGACAGTGTTTGATTGTTTTTGTTTTGGTGCACATCTGGCAGTGCTCAGGGCTTATTCCTGAATTTTCACTTTGATAGTGCTGAGGGGACCGTTTGGAATTCTGAGGATTGACCCAGATTGACCATATGCAAGGCAAGCGCCCAACCCACTGTACTACCCATCTTGCCCCATAATCTGTATTTGAAATTGTGTTTCTGAAACTGCCTCCTGTAGTTTTCCGTGTAGGCAAGAGTCTACTGATTGGGCATTTTCAAGAGGTAGTGTGTTGGCCGAACAGTGCTCTATGATGTTCTTACCAGCCCTTGGTCCTGTTCAGTGTCTCTCCAGCTCTGTATTTGCTGCTAGGACAGTTCCTCTGCATCTTCCGGGCTGGCTTCAGAGTCACTGCTTTCATCAACACCTTGATTGATGACTTCCCGGAAAAACTCATTTTTCTGTTTTACCTTGAATCAACCTGCTTCTGTTTTTATGATGAAAGTCTGTGTGAGAACATTGGTTCCATGTTTGACAAGTACAGGATCAAGGGATTCTGCCTTAACTCGCTGCCCTGAATTCTGTGACTGGCCCCTCCAGCACTTGCCTCTCCTCTCCTTTATCCCCCTTGCACCGATTCACCTAGGCTGACTTAATGGTCTTTCTACACTTGGAAGCTTGCACTAAATTTAAAGCTCCTTGGTGATGGATGATGTCACAGATGGGAGTCTTCCATGTGCACGTTTACTTAACCTAATGATTCCACTTGGCCTCTCATGGGCACACGTTTAAAGGACAAAGTCGTTTCACTGTCCAAGGGGGGTACTGAAGGCCAATTAGTGGCAGGACGTGAGGACCTCTCACCTCTAGTCCCTGTACTGTGACCAATGGGGCCACACTAGCTTTTGGGGCGCTTTTGTGGTTGCTTTTCACTCCCCCCACCCATATCCAGTAGGTCCTGGGGTCCGACTTGCTTCGGAGGCTTTAGGAGGATGTGGAGCTTTGGTGGTTGAAGTGGGGGGAAATTTGCGCAGCACAGGGGTCTCAGTTGTGAGTGTGTGATCCTTGGGGGCATCTTCGTCTCCAGCCCTGTGATGGGGCAGCATCACCTGGGTGCGGATCTTAGCATGGGGAGCTGCGGGTCTTGGGTGGGTATGCTGGACCTGCTGATGACGGAGGTCTTGACCACCACAACCCTCTCAATCAGAGGTTGTGACGGACCCACTTCTGAAGCTTTTGGTGTAGACATGGCTATGTAAATCTGCCAGATCACTTTGAGGGGCAGCTCCTCAGCCCCCAATGGCTGGAGACCCTGTGGAAGCCCATTGTTTTCATTGGCAGCCGCCAGGAGGAATCCTGGGAGCCTGGTCCTAGAATGTGGCTGGGGGTTGTAAATGAATATTTTCTTTTCTGACTATTTTTAGTTGTTTTTTTTTTGGGGGGGGTGAGCACACCTGTAGTTCCCCAGAGGTTACTCCAAGGTCTACCCTCCATCAGTGATCATGGTTTCAGATGGGATGCCGAGGGTTGATCGTTTTCACTAAGAGAAGCACCCTATTCTCTTAACTGTCTCTCCAGCCCCACTTTGGTGTCTTTTTCCTGATAAAGAATTTCTGCTCCCTCTCTCAATTCTTTGTCAGTTCCCTGACCCTGACCAGGTGACCCATCTGTTAGGGTGAATACTGCATGTAAAGTTTTTGTTTTTTCTTTTAATAAGGAGTTATTTTTTATTTTTTTCTATTTTTATAAGGTCGTTTACTACATTCGATTACATTTAATATTCAGATACAAATCCCAGCTGGTATGGTTTTTTGAGGAGGAAGAGATATTTGTTTAGGGATCACTCCTGCTGCATTAGAAAGAAATTTATTTAGAAAGAGCCGGAGTGGTAGTACAGTGGGGAGGGCTCTTACTTTGCACAAGGCCAACCCAGGTTCAATTCCTAGAATTAAAACGGTCCCCCAAGACACAACAGGAGTGATCCCTGAGTGCCATGTTCAAATAAGCCCTGAATACTTCATGTTGTAACCCAAAAATCAAAACAAACACACACATACACACACACTCATGATAATTTTGTGAGCAGAACGAGGATAATGGTTTGTTCATCTGAGTCCCTGTGGCTACCCCATGGCAGAGCCACTTTGGGGGCTGTGGCTGCTGTGGGAATCCCTGAAGCTTATGGGTGCTTAATCAAAGGGGCTCCTGGCCTAGGAGGCAGCCCCTGGCTGGGCCCATAAGGACCTTCCTCGGGATCCAGGGAGGAGTCCCGATCTCAGGGCTGCAATATCCTCCCCTGTACACCGAGCCCATCACTCCTATCCTGTCAGACATCCCAAATCCCAGCCTGCTCTGCATCCCCTGGAGAGGAAGGAACATCTGGCAGTGTCTCCCCAAGGTGGGGCTTGAGTTGGTCCCCCAGAGTGCCTGCCATCAGGACATTTCCGGGTCCAAAGCTGGAACTTTCCAGGTCAGGACTAGAGGTTTGTCCTTTCTCTGCTCACAGCTCTGAGTTCTCTAGGTCTTCGTTTGGAGTCTACTGCTGATCCTTGGGAATAACAGGCAGGATAAGATCATGCTGAGGCTTGCTCCTGGAGGTTGTTTGCATGGAATCTGAGTGAATTTTATTCTTTTTATTAAAACATAAAGACGTTGTGCTGCATGTGCCATCTGTTCAGTCCGTCACTCTCCATTGATCCTGGGCCTGGTGACCCCCAGATGTCCTGGTAACCTGACTGAAGGCAAGAACAGAAAGAAAAATTATATTACTAGCCCAGCAAGCTACTGAAAGTATCTTACCCACACAGCAAAGCCTGGCAAGCTGCCCGTGATGTATTCGATATGCCAAACACAGTAACTAGTCTCAAAATGGAGACATTACTGGATCTGCTCAAGCAAATTGATGAACAATGGAAGGATAGTGACAGTGACAGTGACCGGAAAATATGTGGTCAGGAATACTTGGAGCTGGGACCAGAGATACAGATCCGCTTTGCTTTTTTCCTGATGGACTGTATCTGAGAGCATTGGTTCATTGTTTGCCCAGTACAAGACCAGGGGACTTCTCCTTACTGCTTTCTAGCCTCCACTGTGTGACCCAAAACTCCAGCAGCTGCTTCTCCACCGCTTTCTGCGATCCCATCCCCCTTTTGCCACAGATTCACCTGGGTGGGCATAATGGTTCACTGCATATCTGGAGTCTGGCCCTTTAAGGCTGCTTGCTGGGATAAAAGTGACATCACAGTGGGCCCTTCCTGGTACTTCTATTCCTGGAAACAGGGTGTGGGTAAAGGACAGAGTAGGGCCCCTGTGAAGAGGTGGGACTGAAGGCCGATTTTGTGGCAATAAGGGGAGATTCCCGTGAGTTCCTGGTGCCTTCCCATTTCCACACTGAGCTGTGGGTGCCCAACAGCTTGGGGGATGCTTGTTTTTCACTTGTTCCCTTATATACAGATGGTTCCTTAGGCGTGGAGGAGCTTTGGGGGTGCAGTGGGGTCTGTTCCGGGATGCAGGGGTAAAGGGTGTATGTGCGTAATCCTGGGAGGCTCCTGTGGCCATGACTGCCCCCAGATCTGTGATGGGGCAGTGGCAGGTGAGCGCGGGGATGAGGGCGGGGGCTGCGGGCCTTGGGGCTGTGGGACCGGCCGAGTGCAGGGGACTTGGCGACCCCACCCTCCCCACTAACCCCTGTTGGAACCATGCCCCAGTCTCGCTGCTGTAGAGTCTCCAGATTCACTTTGAGGGGCAGAGCTGCAGCTCCCCTGATGCCAAGAGACCCTGTTCCTTTCCAATTTTCTCATTGACTGCCCTGGTGGAACAGGGCCATCCTGAGCAGTAGATCCACAGATCCGTAAGTGATGGGCTTGCCAATGAGAGTTTCCTTTTGGGGTTATTTTTGGTGTGGGGAATGGGGGGCTGTTGTGCCCTGAGATACCCTGAGGGCTTACTCTGGCTCCCAGCTCAGGTATTATTCCTGGAGTGCTCTGGGGGCCATCGGGATGCAGAGAATTATCTGGTGTCAGCAGGGCGAGCACCCTGCCACTTTACTGTCTGATTCCAGTGTTGCTGTTTTTTTTACATCAGGAATTTCTGCTCTCTCACATCAAGTTGCAAAGCACCCCCCCCCCCACTCTTCTCTCCCTGACATGGTGTCCCAGGCTATTGGAGTGAGTACTGCGGGTAAAGGTTGTGGGTTTTTTTTTTTGGAAGTAAGTAAGGCCTTAGGCTTCTGAATCCTGCCGAGGATGGGCAGCTTGGAGTTCCTGAACCTCCCAGCATAGGATATGTTGGTCCCTGACCTGGAGCCTTTGACTTGGACATCACAAGATAGAACCTCAAAACTCTGATGGGCAGGCCCCACCCATAATCGCCTGTTCTTTCATTGGATGCCATGATGAGTGCAGGCACCCGGCAGGTGGGTAAAGGTAAAGGTAAAGGCCCTCCCGTTGATCGTCGATTTGCTCGAGCGGGCCCAGTAACGTCTCCATTGGAGACTTTGTTGTTACTGTGTTTGGCATATCGAATACTCTCGGTAGCTTGCCAGGCTCTCCGAGAGGGGCGGAGGAATCGAACTTGGATCAGCCATGTTGGGCACGTGTAAGGCGAACGCCCTACCCACTGTGCTATCGCTCCGGGTGGGTTTCCAAAAATGAAACTCATTTTTTTATCATCATGTTTTTTAATTTCTGTACCATATTGGAAATTCTCAGAGCTTCCTCCTGGCACTGTGCTCAGGAATTTCTGTGGACCGACTTAGTGGACCCTAAAGGATGCCAGGGATGCTCACTGTGTCTCCTAATGGCCATGAGGAGTAATTCCTGAGTGAAGAGCCGGGAGTAACATCTGAGCATTACCAAATGTGATCCAAACACCACCCCACCTCTGCCCCCGAAATAGACTGCTTGTGTTAGTCTTCTCTCTTCTTCAGGAAAGTTTATTGCAGTTTATTAGTTGTCAAGCCACAAACTTAGGAGTTCATAAAATGCAATTAAACTTTGATATTTGGGCCGCTGTGCCTGTGCTCAGGGTTTACTCCTGGCTCTAACCTCTGGGATCACTCCTGGTTGGACTTGGAAGATGATCGGGGTATTCCAAGGGGATCAAACCTGGCCTAGCCATGTGCAGGGAAAATACTTTACCCATTGTTCTCTCTCTCTCCTCTTTCTGGTACCCCATACGGCTCTCTGAAACCCACCAGAAATGGCCCATAAAACAACTGAACTTGATTTTACTTTGAGCCTTCATTTGGAAGACGTTGTCTGCATGACTGAAGGATGGGGTGTTGTTTGAGAGCTGAGCTAATATTATTGTTTATCTTTTTATCATTCCATCTGATATCCAGTATACATGGGCTGGAGCGATAGCACAGTGAGTAGGGCGTCTGCCTTGCACACAGCCAAACCAGGTTCGATTCCTCCACCCCTCTTGGAGAGCCCGGCAAGCTACTGAGAGTATCTCGCCCACACGGCAAAGCCTTTTGCCCACACGGCCCACACGGCAAAACAAAAAGAACAAAAAACTCTCGATCCTGAGAGTAATGTGCTTGTACTGAGATGTTTGAAATGGCCCCTGTGGTCGATCTCAACATGTCATGTCCAGGCCTGTTTGGGGCAGTAGTGCTGCATCCAGCCTTCCACACAGTCGTGTACAGTGCGGTACAGTCCCAGATATAAGATCATCAGTGACTCTCTGGTGAGGAACAGAGGACTCCTGGAGCCAAATCTAAGAGATTTGGAGGCATCAGTTCATCTGACATCCTGGAAACTGGGCAAAGGTTTGAACAAAGCAAAGCCAAGATGATCCTTTGATGATCTCTGGGGCTGTCTCCAGGGACTTGTTGTGCTTGGGTCCACCATCAAATCCCACACGAGCCCCAAAGTTTTTAGGGTCATGATCAAAGGAGACACGGAGGCATCAAATAAAATTTGATAAAATTTAAAAGGAGTGTATTCACACAAGCTCGCGGGCTGTCTATGCAAGAGCAGCAGACTCCCAACAGAAACCCAGGCTTTTGGTTAGGAAAGACCACATCCTGTCTTATCTATCATTTTCATAAGCACCCTAAAAATTAGTTTAACTCACTGGGCCCATGTGCTTTCACCCAGTACATTTCTGTAGGCATAGTGAAGAAAGCATTGATGTAGAACAGAGAAAAAGTGATTACACAAAGGAATCAACTATTGATCATTAACCATGTCACTCTTGTGGACCTTAAGCCATTTTTCCTATTAAGTATAGTAATACCATTATCAAATAACTCTGTAAACTGAAAAGTAGACTCCTAAGGTGGCTAAATTTCATTTTTTACTATAACAAACAAAAAATCATAGCTGAACAATAGGTCAACATGTGTGAAAAAGAGAATTTCTTCTGCCCCCATTGTACAATTCTTCTTGATCACTGGTTCAAATTTTGAAGAATTTAATATTTGCTGCATACTTCATCCACTACTAAAATACTAAATGACTACTCAGCTACAGAGAAGGGAAGACCTTTCCTTTCATGCTGCTGATCCATTTTAGATCCCAGTTGAATTCACTACACTGTTGAACTTGAGCACTGTTTGAAGACTTGCTGAGTACAGAGCTATGAGTAGCTTCAGAATACTAATGAATGTGAACACACACAAGCACATATACAGGAATATTGATTACACATATAATACTTTCCAATTCATTCAATTCCTGAGCCTCATTCTGGGTCACCCCAGAGTGCCATTCTGGCATGTGATTCACTTAGTTTCTAGCTCACTCCTGTAAGGAGTGCATGAACAGTTGGAGCTACTCCAGCAATCAAAAGTTCAGTGCAATGTAAACAAAAATCAGGGCTAGCATAATCCAGCAGGGTAGTAGCTGACTCAGGTTCCATGGTTAGAACCCTAGAGGGTTTATGATCCCTGAGCAGTCAGAGGAAAGTGCTGAGCACAACATAATGTGCTCCCCCAACAATGCATCAATCAAAACAAGACATCATGATATCTGAATATTAACATCCAGTGATTCCTAAGCATTGTTTTTTGGTGGTGTTGATTAGGGATCAGGTTTTGGGCGCTTACTGGTGGGTGATTCCAAGGAAATCTTTGTGAATTTCATTCCCTTAGTGACAACATACAACACTTTGGCTCCATAGACCATGTCTTCACTCCATCTATCCGGTACCTTTTGACCCCCCCCCTCCCACCCAGATGTCCTGCTATCCGATCCAAGACCAGAACTGGAGGGAAGGATCAGCAGCTTGACCTTATGCAAATGATCAAATGCTCATTGCTCAAATGTTCAAGGTATAAATATCTGTTGGTTCTCATTGATAGCTTCAGTGTATTGGCAGAAGCTTTTCCAATCTACTGAGAAAGCCAGAGAATGGCTTGGTGTTTCTGTGTCCATTAGAAAAATCTGGACACAGGAAGTCATATTATTATCAACCAAACCCGTGGGTAGAGTTATTCCTTTTCATTGTTTTAATGGTAGATATGGGTATGGCATTATGTTGCTTTGGTTTCTGCTGCTTTAACTCTTGTTTTTTAAGATAGCAAACAACTCTGTCCTTACTGGACCAGAAAGGAACTTCTACTACTCCAGGGTCTAACCATGTCAAAGTGATATCCCTCAGTCTAATCGATCTGATCTTTTCTTTCAGATAACTTCAGGGACCCAAACAATTCATTGCCTGGGGCCCATTACAAAGGTAGCATGAGATTTACCCCTTGCACAGGCAAGGTCTGCGCCCCTCTTGTCAGCATGAAGCAGCTTTAGAAGATGGACCACCGACCATTTTCCCCTTAAAGATTTAAGATGGTGAGGGGGTATGGTGCCGCCAGCTGGTCAATCTGTACCTGTGAGGTGAGTGCATCAGCAGCCTCATGGCGCCTTCAGACTTCCAGATACCTCAAAATTGCTGCTGTGCCTTTGGCCAGACCCCAAAAACTTGGGGCAAAGTTTACCAAGAAAGAAAAACAGCCAAAAGTTAGGTATGTGGGAAACACACCCACAAACCACCTCTGGCTCAGCTATATAATTGGAGGCAAGGCCTCTTTGGTTGAACTGCTTAATGGCCATGATCCCAGAGACTCAGAAACGAATCTTGGAACCCAGCGGCTTTAGGTAGAAATGCGTCCGGTCTCTGCAGTAGGCTACTGGTGCTGGGCCAACCCAGGTGGGAATAGGTTTTGTGCCTTGGCCTGTTCCCCCTGGCGACCCAGTGGCCGCCATCCTTCTGAGGCCACTGGATAGTCACATTTGGGCCCCCAGTGATGAGACACACAGGGCCTCATGGGATGGGGGTGGAGCCGGGCTTGTCCTACCCACCCCAACGAGACCCCAAGTCATCGCCTACGAACGGCCTCTCTGGCTCCTCATCAAGCTGCTCAACGGCCATGATCCCAGAGATTCAGAAACAAATCTCAAAACCCAGCGGCTTTTGACAGAAATGTGTCTGGACCCCACAGTAGGTTACTGTTGCCGGGCCACCCCAGGGGGTAAAGGGTGCTGTCCCTCCACCTGTTTTCTTCTGGCAGCTCGGTAGCCGTCATCCTCCAGAGGCCACTGGACAGTCAGGCTTGGGCCCGCAGTGACGAAACTTGTTGGGCCTCACGGGATGGGGTGGAGCCAGGCCTGTCCTCCCCACCCCAACGAGACCCCAAGTCATCGCCCATGAACGGCCTCTCTGACTCCTCATCAAGCTGCTCAACGGCCATGATCCCAGAGACTCAAGAGCAGATCTCTAAACTCAGTGGCTTTTGGCAGAAATCCCTCCAGATTTAAGTGTTAAAATTTCAGAACTTCAAAACCACATGGCCCTACTGCAGCCACACGACATCATATGTTATTCATAACCAGCAATAGAACAC